TCTGTAGTGATTTCATTCCCATGTTAGAGCAAGGTTTACATTGGAAAGAAGGGTTGGACATAACTATGACTACTTGTTGAGCACAAAATGATTATCAAGAAGAAATTAATTGTGTGGCATTAGCTAATAGGAAGCAACACACACACAAAAGGGAGGTCACAGATAAAAAATTTCATTGATCATAATTGATTATTGTGATTTGCTTAACTGGACTTGGAAATTACGGAAGAAAGTGAATGTCAGAGTGAGGAAGGTGGAAGTCAAGGATGAAGGATGTACCATATCTTGCATATCTTATCCTGGGTAATATCTCAGGCCAGCCACAGGGCTCCTCCCTTTTAACAGAAAGCACAGCAAACCTTTGCAGAGGTGGGTGAAGGTAAAATCAGTGCCAGGAAATAGGATTCTGAATGAAAGATGACAAGTAGAGCATCACGGTGAATCACTTGGAAACTTAAGGGTCTTCATGCAGTGAGATGAAGTTCACCCAGTCCTTGGATATCTCCCTGAGAAACTGGATATGCTTATCCTGTTTATGGTGTTTTGAAGTACATTGTTTCAGATATTTCTTTTGGGGTGTAATCCTATGCTTTTTTCCCCTCTTGGAGTTCAGTTGCCAGTTATTTACCATGTTGCATGTGCAGTTGGGATGCAAGTACTGCTTTCACCTGTTTTCATGAATGACCTTTTTGATGAAGTCCTTAGGCCAAAGTATGAATTAGGAAGTTCAAAGGAAGAATGAAGGGAAGATTTTGCAAAAATCCATCTGAGTATCCTCATCTATTCCTAAGCTTTGCTGCAGGCCAGATCATATGGGACTTTCTCCTAAAATTAGAGGAAACCATCAAGCCACAATTGCTTGGAAAGAAGTATCCTTCTCTAGGCTTTCCTCTTCGACTTTTCCGCAGCTTTGCTTATCACTCTTCTTGATACATCCATGTCCCATGTGGGGTGCTGTGCTTGAAGCATGATCTGTACTGTGTTTTCATCGACACAACTAAGCAATTCAGGAGTGTCAAGGGGTCACCATTTTAACAGCTGGTATAAGCAGTGACAATAAAATTTCTATTGTTGACCCTAATGGCAGCACAGTGTGTTTTTAGTAGAATAAATAGCACTGCAGAGAGACTTGGTGAAACTGGACTACAGACCTTCTGCCAGTCAGTGACACCTCTCAGAATCATATATAAATTAGCATATAAGCAACAGCAGGCTATTATATTGTTGTCAAACCCTGCTTTGAATATAGTGTAAGACCTCCACTTCTTGTGGGAACAGCTCTGTTCTTTTATTTGAAAGGAAATTGGATTTGGGAAGGTTGTTTGCTTGTATTTTTCCTTACCCTCTGGACCCTGCTGTGAACTGTTCTTACATTCTTTTCTTTAGAGAGGGAAATAAGTTAGTTGAATTTGTCAAAGGTGGCTTCTGTTTCCCTTCCCTCCCCCATTGCTGCTCTGGTGGATTCCAGTTTCCCTGCACTGCTTTGCCTGCAGGTAGGTACTTCCACTTCACGGCAGAGTGACTAAGCTGCCTGACTGAACCGTATTCCTTCACTCTTCCTTCTTAGTTTAGCATACAGTCTTAGAAATCCAGCATATAAATCAAATTTTGGATACAAATCAAAACATGTGATTAATACCTAGACATTTATGGCCATATAATGTTGCACCACAGTTAACAAGTAACATTTGGCTATGGGGTCTGTGCACCTGCTAAGCTGTAATGTGCTGCTAATGTTTTAATGAAGGATCCTAGGGAAAAAAATACCCCTCTAAGCCAGAGGTAAAGCTTGTGCTCCTGGAATGCACATATGTGGATAGGAGAGTTGACTGACTGGGAATACAGCCATTTGTTTTCCCAAATTACAAATAATAATTAATAAATAAAATGTTTTCTTGTGGCTGTAAGCAGGGAGTTGGGAGAATCACTTGGCAAACAATCTGATATTTAAGCTGTGATTTGTTGAGAATATTTGCACATTACTCTAGAACAGTGGCCCCAGGAGGAGCAATACTGAGCAACTTGCATTTTGTGGACAGGTTTACTCTCTCTCTGTTGGCCTCCGTTTTAAGTTTTTTATTTACTGTATCAAGAGGCAATATCAGAAAGTCTTGTAGGCAACATGTTTGCACATGAAACAAAGGTTAGGAACTGTGGCTTTCTAGTGATGTACCAATATTATTGATATTATGACAGCTTTTGCAGACTGAAAATGGGAAAAAACGGAGGTTATTTCACTGGGAAACAAAAAAACAATCTGCCATCTCGGTTTGGTGCAGTCTGGACTGAAATATGTTCCTTAGCATTATGATGATAAATTCCAGGGATGCTACCTAGCACAGAGGGTTTAGCACTGCTTCAGAAGCAGTGGTGCTCAACAAGTAGAGATGGGACAATGTCTTCCTTCATTTTTGCAGAAAAACTTCTAAAGTCATAGCTGCAAGAACTACCTCAAGAATGACTCCAGGAAAAACTTCTCTCAAATATTTGTAATGATGTCTCTGCTTCCTGAGAGAAATGAGGCATTTGTCTAACCTGTGATGTGACTGGTAACAGTGGAGAGTGGTAGGTGGTTGAGCAGAAGATCCCTAGAACCTCGTGGGACGATTACATCATATGGTAGAATTTTTGTGGATGCAGGTGTTCTCTACCCATCAATGAATGTAGATGTTTGATAGCAGGAGGGTGTTTTACTCCTCACAGAGAAGATTAGTGAAAGAGGTGTAAAAATTTGCTTCAATGAAACTTACATATTTATGTTGTTATCCTTGCTGCATTTTTCTCAGTGTCTTACAGCCCTGATCTAGCAATGACAAATAAGAGTTTTGGAAGTTTTTCCCAACCTGATCTCAGCTAAAATAAAAACAAACAAACAAACAAATAAATAAAATTTTATAATGTTTTAACATGATAATTGCTGATATTTGTGAAAAATAACATTTTCCCCCTTCACAGATTGTTTCTTGCTTTGATTAATCATCATTTTACACAGGGAAATCTTTTTTAGTAGCTGATTCTTCAATAATTTTTTCACTTATGATCTTCCTTGAAAGCATCCTCTCCCTTTGCTTTTCTGTTCCCATGGTTGAGAATAGTTTGTTGTGTATTCTCTGAAAGCTGTCCAGATTTGCTACAAGTTAATCAGATGGTGTGTTGTGAGACTGCCTTTAGGCACTCAACTGTTGTTAGTCTGGAACAGGATTAGATTTCCTAACTCAGCTTCTTGAAAACAAAATTTTTCCCTTAGTTTTTTATTCAACTGGTAGAAAAGGAATTCAAAGGACTTTCTTATGAAGAGTCTTTTCAGATTAAAATAAAACCACTATGACTGAGAAAATATATATTGGCTGCCTTTGCAACTGAATGTGAGTGAAAAAACTTGGGAGTGCATCTGCACTGCAGAGTTAATCACAAGGTCTGACTAAGTGTTGTCCCCGATTGTCTCCCAGTCACCTACAAAATATCTAGCTTGGAAGTGTTGCACAGCTTCTGACTGAGCAAGCTGCCTCAATGTTGTCTGTTAGCTGGGGCTCGGGTGTTGTCTTCATGTGGTGTTGTAGTCCACCTATGTTTCAGGAAAGAATGAAGTCAAACCATGAATTTATTGAAATCCTTCAAAATCCTCTCACAGTTCTCCCACGTATCAAGAAGGATGCAAAGATCCTCCTGCAATTTATTGGGGAAAGTCCTTGAAACTTCAGTTCTGCAGCATGGAGAGGAGTGGAGATGCCAAACATCTCAGAGAACTGGAGAGCATGAGGGGAATTGCCTGATTGGCCTGACCTCCTAAAAACACCCCTTAATTTCACCCAGCCTCTGATGCTGTGAAAAGCAGAGCAGGAACGAGATGTCCCAGTGCTCTGTTGAGCCGTAGGTGTGATATCTGCTCTGTGGGATGTTTGGACCCCTGTAATTGACATCCATGAGAACTGCATTGCTCAAAAATGTGCCGCAGGGCTATCCCAGGACTTTTCCTCTTTAACTGTGCTCTGAATTCCCTGTCTGTAGGCAAGGGCTGGAGACTATTCACGCAGATCTAAACAACTAAATGGAATAGGAGACATTGGAGAATTTAGTTTCCTGCTTTAGCAGAGGGCTACAGAAGAAGCATTTCATGCAGCTTTGAGGAGAAGTGGAATAAAAATCATCCCAATTTTTTATTGCAGGAATCATACTCATTCAATGGCTCAGCCATGGACTTTCTAAAAGGCACCAAGCAGCGGTCCAAAGGCAGAAATAATATGTGTGAAAGGAAAAGAGATGCAAGGCACTGTTGTACAAAGATTCATGGATAATAACTTAGGGTGATCTGGAGAGCACTGATTTAATTTTACCATGGCAAATGAGTTTTGTAGAATTTCTCCTTTAGGCAGACACTTCACATCCTCCTCACTTAAAATTAAAAAAAAGGAAAAGAAAAAACTCAGCCTCCCAACTTTATCCAAACAACAGCTCGCTAAACTGGGTAGTTCAATGCCTGTTCCATCCCTGAAGTCTAAATCCTACTAAATTAGTAAGCAAATTAAATACCCAGGCACTAGAAATGCAATGCACTTTCTACGCTAATATTTCAACACGTATTGTGTTCAGGTAGTATATGTGATTTCAGGTGGTTCATGGTGTCATTTCAAGACTTCACTTTCTTAAAGCTGATGCCCTACATGCAGCCCATAATGAAGAAATATTTTCAATTCATCAATCCCATTACAGTATTTCAGCAAACTGAAGCTCTTGATATTTAGTAGGTAGTTTTTGGGAGAGTTTGTTTTGTTTTTTTACTTAATTGGGTAAATAAAGTTTTATTCTACATAATAAATCATTTTCTCCAGTTCTATGTCAGTGTAGCGGACAGTAAATGTAGCTTGATCTACTGTCCTCCTGAAAAATATGAGATCACCCTTCATCACCCATAGTGAAACTGGAAATGGCAAATCTGGGGCAGAAGAGGAGCACACTACACAGAAAAGATTAGACTCATTCTCTTCTGTTTTGACAGAACTGAGATTGTGGATGAGCAAGGCTGAGAAGAAGCACTGGCTAAGAAAATGTGTGAGTGCACTTTCCCTCTCACACTTCCATTAAAGCATAATTTCCTGAAGAAAATAGAAACATTGATTATGTTGTTGACATCATCAAAATCCTAGCAACTCCAGGTTATCTTTGAGTTAGGTGAGTTTTCCTTTATTTTCAGTGAAATATAACTTCTGTTTAAATGGAAATAATATTAACTATTTGGCTCATAGCATCTGATTATTTGTATGATTATTTATTTTTCTTCATAGGCAGAAAAAGGTTAAACACCTTTGCTCTTACATGATAACAAGCACTAAGATCTAACTGAGTATTCAAAAATAATAGCTAAATTCCAACAGTAAAATTATAATTATCTTATGGAATATCATTGCATTTACCTGGATATAGCAAATATTTCTTGTTCACAAAATTCTAATTTTCACTTTCAAACGTCCCTGTTGTGGGTCTAGCTCTGTAGAACTGCCTTACCCAGTGGGGAATCCACAGTTAGCATTGGTAATATTGATAAATAGAATCATCCCAAGCCATGACCAAACTGCACAGTAATTTCAGAGCTACACTCACGTGTTGCTCCTCGGTGCAGCAACCCGCACAGGGCATCTTGGAAGGGAGCTGAACAGGCCCATGGTGGATGCCATGGTGAGATGGATGGGCATGATGCAGAGAGGATGACGGTAGAAATCTGTTTTTCATCATTTTTCACGCACACTCTTCCCAGCTGCTCTTTTTCAAAATAATTTTTAACTAGGGCTAATGCTTAACTCAGGGCCATAATCTCAAGGTAGATGGGTATAATGTGGATTGTATTTGTAATGTATTCATAAGAGTTAGTAAAAGTGGTTTAGAAACATTTCTGAGAGAGAAAATTTTACAGCTAGGCTTTATTATTAATTTGCTGGTATATAGTTACTTTTAAAGAATGGCTAGATTTCATTTGTGAACAAGTAAAAAGACTGAAAAGGAGAAAAATTTGTTTGTGTCAAGATTTTCATCTCCAAAGTAATTGTAAGCAGATGCAGAAAGCTTTCCAGACTACCAGACAGGGAAATCAGTGATTTTCAAACAAATAGGAATTTATTAATTTTACAGTGCTTTAAGAAAGGCAAAAGAGGGTGTCACTGAGCTTTTCATGAAACCCTGAGCTGTGTCTTTAACATACAGTAATTTAATTCTTGTATTCAAAGTGACCATAGTCTGATTTTTCTCTCATTGCAACCTAATCTACTTTTTAAGCTGTGTGACTGCCATTGGTAAGTACAGCTTTTAGCTGCAAAACCCTCAAAGACTGCCTGCATAGTAGGTGCCAGCCATCTAATATTGTATCCATGAAGCTGGAAGTGAGCACTCCAAATAGCTTTTAGTCCATCTGTGTAAGGAGTAACAGGGAAGTTGTAATGTGAGAACTGAAACCAATACAAAGAGGTGACAGAGTATTTTTCAGTGGGATGGTGTTTACGTGAGAGAGAAGTGTAGCAGAGAGGATGCAGAGGAAAACAATGTGAGCAAAAATGGAACAATATGGTCAATTGAAAAGCTGCGTGTAAGGTGATTTTAAAAGATTTTTAAAAAGGCAAATTATGATAAGGAAACAAAGGGTAGGATTTTTATCACAGATATTAGGACTGTGACAGGGCTTGTGTTTCAGGAGGTTGCACAGCACAAGAGTGATGTCTCCCATGACTTTGAGGCTGGGACAGATTCAAAGAATACGCCCTCAGCATCCTGTCACATCTCTGTTGTACAAGTTGTCGTAAGGATACTTCAGGTACCTCTAAACAGGCCAGCTCAAGTATCCAAAGCGAACTAGCTATGGCAGAAGGAATCTCCACACCACTGCTTCTTCATGATGCATTACTATTCAATGACAAATGTTGCTTTTTGTAATTGCTACAAAATTTATACTATTATTGCTGCTATATTTACTGGCAAATGTCTGATGAAAAACAGGTGAAACTAAAAGCACAGGAACAGATAATTTTTAACCAGAAATAGTCATGAATGAAGATGTCCTCTGAAAGCAATCATAATCACCATGAAAGAGGCCAAAGATCTATGCAGTGTTGTCATAATTTTACAAGGCTCTGTACAAATTCCTCCACTTACAAGTTAGGCTTTTGATTAAACATCAGAGGAATTGGTGTGTTCAACTCTTAGTTTTGCAATACCTAGCCAATACAAGCTTCCTTTCATTTTTTAATTATTGTCTCCTATTCTACAACTTGTAGGAATCATATTCACCAATTTATATTAATTCTTACTCTAGAAAATACACACTACTTTGAATTTATTGAATTTTGTCCTTGCTGAGAGGAGCTGTAGAAGGCAGAGTAGCTTCTACAAAATAAGGAGGACACAGCAAAAAGGATTAAAAGAAGGTGAAGGCATTAAAGGAAATTCAGAAAGAGGATATTTTTAGGGAGACCTTTTAGAGTAAAGATAAGTGACAAAGAGCTAAAGGAACAGAAATGAAACACCTGAAGTGAGCAGGGCCAGTGAGAATGGAAGACATTAAGCACTGTGGGAAGAAAACTCACATCATTAGAATGAGGCATTTACTCTCTCCTTATCCGAACGACAGAAGCAAGACAATCTGCTGTTTGTGTTATAAAAGTGTTTGCAGTGGGAAGTATGGTATATGCACACAGAAAGAACATCTGTTTGAGGAAGGCTCCTGCACATATAAAGCTGCAATAATGGGGTAGAAACATCTGCACAGCTTATAGCAGGGCCACCAGTAGTGCTCTTAGGTGGGGGAGGGTGCCATACATGCCACGTGAAGGGGAAGGTCACAGGAAACCTCTCTAAGAATGAAGCAGCTTGCTGTATATATCCTGCAAAGATAAGGACTTATATCCATGTAAAGGTTTTCCTGTAAACAAACTGCTGTGTTCAGTGTTGCAGAATACTGCTGTGGAAATGCTATAAACCCTGAAAACCACATCATTGTCCTTTCCCTTAATCATTAAAAGGACAATGCCCCTATTCTTATGTAGTCATAGGATGAGTCAAGGATTTTAAATAAAGCCCAAGCATAAAGGTTTTCCTCTGGCCACCCATAAGACCTGCAAGATCTTACAGCATAGTTCTGTTACTAACAGAACACCAAGAAATTCAGAGAATGAGTGGAACAAAATGAAGTGCTGACTGGCGGCTTGCTGGCAGTGCTGTTGGTGCAGTCCAATTTCAGGAAAATATGCCCTGGCATAGTTCCCTGCTCTGGCTATGCAGCAGCAGGTACCTGAAAGACTCCTTCCTGGTTATTTGGGGTATTGCTCCACTACAGATGTTGCAGGGCAAAGATGATTACATGATTTGGTGCCCTTTGCCTCAGTTCCTTTTTATTGCAAATACAGTTTCACATTCCTGAACAGAGTAACTTTGATTGTGTATGGAATTTATAGTGAGAAAAAGGGAGGAAATCTACAGCTCACTCAGAGTGCACAGCCTTCACAGGCTGGTGTTTGGCAGCATCATGTTTGTATCTTACCAAGGCACTCTTACATGCTTCACACAAAGCAGGCTATCCCTCTGCTCCTTTAAAACTCTCTTCCTTCTGACTTTGTGACTTCAAAGCTGGTCCAGAAAGCTTTACAGAAATTTTACAATTTTTGTTCCCTCAGTACGCTAACATTTGGAGCTCAGATATACATAAATGCATGGCTTTATCACCAGACTATTACCCCTTTACTAGTGTCTAGAACTTGAAGTGCAAGTTTTGAAAATTTTAACTTGAATATAGATAAATGAGCAGATCTTGATACAGGAAAAATCTGTGAATATGGTATCTTGAGTGGCTACTTCTGCTTTTCTTGGCATTTCGCTACCTTAAGTGGAATTCTTTTCCATGTGCAATGTAAGGGATGACAGAGTGCATCTGATGATTAGGCTGTGTTGAGCAGACACTTTTATAGCAAAAGCCTATTGCTGGCAATGGGAATGCATTTGTTAAGTTCAGCCAATGATGGTTGAAGACTTTGGCTTGTGTTAAGCTTAAAAGATGACTTTTAGAACATGCAAACTTCTGTACATAATGTTTGCAGACAGACAAAATTTTTCATTAAATTTTTCTATTCTTTAATGTTTTGCAAAAACAGTCAACAAGTACTATTCTCAGAAATGTGACCAGAGTTACCTAATTAGGTACAAAAGATGAGTGTATTTTGTTTTACTGGAATTAGCAGGAGTAACAAATAAATGCTATTTGTAAAAAAAGACGAAGAATATGATGCTTAACACGACCTAGATGAAGAATCCAGGCGCCAAGACTAGGCTCCACTTTCCCATGACTCCCAGGGTAAGTCACTGGAGGCAAAGAGTGATGCCTCCAGTACAGGATATGAATTTGGGAGCTCTGTAAGAGCCAGTGTCTCTTCTGTGGCCATATATGGCACCAAGCCTGCCAGCTTCACTATTTGACTGGTATGAATCCTCTCCCTTTCCTGAATTGGTAAAATCCTACTTCAGAAAAGTGCTTTGGCACAAAAGTGCTTTTTGTCTTTTGGCATATTTCTCCTTAAGCATCTGAGTAACTCCAGGCGGGTTGAAAGACACTACATGTATCTAAAAGCAGTGGCACACTTCAGTGTTTGGAAAAAATACATGGGTAAAATTCTTCTGCCTTCCAAGCTTAAGCATGATGGCTGTTTTTTTGCTTCATTTTGACTTGGGGTGTTTTGTGGTAGACATCAAGCAGTTAAAATAAAGGTTTTATTTCCATTTTGGCATATTCCTCATTACTGCTTTAAAAAAAAACTTGTAATTTTCCTTGTGAAACATATGCTTAGCTCCACTGGTTCTGGAGAGTGTGTAAATGATACTCACCTTGGGAGAAAAGAATTCGACCTTGAAATCGGATACCCTTTCCAGAACAACCATGTGCTTTCTGGCTCTGGAACACTGCATTGCATCATGCTTCGCAGAAGAATTGCTACAAAGGTGATGGTTAGCAAATCTAAAACACTTTGTGAAAAATGCCTTTTGCTGGGGAGGGGAGCTGTCTAATTTTTAACATCAGAATGACCACACATGTGGTTAAAATCCAGATGGAAAAGAGAGTGAAAGACTTTGTCATTGGAAAATATATCTTTAACAGGGGCTGTGTATGAGAGGAAGAGGTCGGGTCCCTGTTGTCCATG